AGAAGGTGGAGCCTTACTTGCAAATCTTAGATCGTCGTTGGGATTCACAGCTTCGCAAAAATCTTCATGCTGCTGGTTATTGGTTGAATCCAGGTTGTCGTTACAATGATGAAGAATTTGAAAAACATAAGTTCACAACATCAGGCCTTTTGGATGTCATTGAGAAATATGCTTATGGGGATCCTGATTTAAATTATAAGTTGACAAGTGAGATGAGAATACTCAAAAATGCTGAGTTAGATTTTGGAAGGCCATCTGCTAAACGCGAACGAAATACCGTGATGCCAGGTAAAATTTATCATTGATATTTTTTTTCTATGAGCATTAATTCTTATTATTGCTGAATAATATTAATACTAATTTATTTTATCACATGCAATATTCTAGATCAATGGTGGGAATCTTATGGATGTGGTGCACCAAATTTGCTAAAATTGGTTATTCGTGTTTTAAGTCAAACATGTAGTGCTTCGGGTTGTGAACGCAATTGGAGTGCATTTGAACATATTCATTCGAATAAGAGAAATAGATTAGAGCACCAAAAGCTTAATGATCTTGTCTATGTCCGTTACGACTTGAGGCTGGCACAAAGGTATTATTGAGTATTTACTTTTTTTTATATAATTATTTCTCCAAGTATTTCTAATGTTGAAAATTGAACAATTTTTTTTTTGTATGCATAGGAATCGATTGAAGAATCAAAACTATGATCCAATAAATTTTGAAACATTTGAGGACCATTCTAATTGGGTACTAGAGGATTCACCACCATACTTAACAGCTGAAGAAATGGAAACCTTACGGAAAGAGCTTGCAAATATGTCCATTCAACCAACTCTAGATGATAATGGTGTGTTTACTTATTGTTCTATGATTATTTGATTGTTTGATTACTTCATGTTAATAACTAACTTACATGAAAAAATAATATTTGTTTTAGATCAATTAAATTTGGATGATGATGATGAAGATGAGGCACAAGACAACATCATGGAAAATGCAAATCAAACTGAAGGCAATGTTGGTCAAGCTTTGGATTTATTTGATGAAGGAGGAGAGGATGAATTAATTGACACAACTTTGCCTCCATGGGCATAATTATATGTTTTTGTGCTAGTAATTTGATTTGTTTGTTTTCTCTTGATAAGGACAAGAGTTATTGTTCTAAACTTGTGCTAGATATTAAGTGTTTAAGAACTAGACAAGTATTATATATTTGTTTTATCTTTTGTTGGACAATAGTATATGATTAATTGCATTTTAAATTAGAATATTTGGAATTGGTATTTTTTTTACAGGTATTTGAGTATAAATTACAGGTTTGCATATACTTACCGGGTCATGCGGTTGAACCAGTGACCCACTGGTTGACCCAGTGACCCAGTACCTCGACCGGGTCGAGTTTAATAACATTGGGTTGTACTGTTGATTTGGTGAGCATGGGAGTTGTCCATGCCACATTGATTATGCTTTGTTTATTTAGACTCATGTTGTATAATGAATCAGGATTTTGTCTGGTCTACGTGTTGTAGTTCTGTGACTAGATACACACTTATTTATGTCATGAGGTTATTCAGTTAGATCTTTATTGCAATTTACATACATGCATTATTTTGTAAAAGGATTAAGTAATCAACTTGGTTAATAATAATGACATCATAATTGAAAAGAAAAAGTTAGCTTCCGCATTTAATTGAGATGCGCTTAATACTATAATATGATAACAAACCGGGTATACACGGGGTGTTAGAAGAAGACTCCCAGGAACAAAGCTCACCTGGTTTGCTGACTTGTAAAGCTAGAATACAAGGACGGCATAAGCATGATTGAACACCTCAACACCTACAAAGGTATTATTAATTAGTTGTCTAAAGCTGAGATGAAAATTGATGATGAGATGCAAGCTTTGCTGCTGTTGAGCTCGCTGCCAAAAAGCTAGGATACTCTTGTGGTGGCTTTGAGTAATTTGGTTTCCAGATGTCATTGCGTAGATCTCGAAAAGTCATGTGGAATTAAAAAAAATTACCTGATTCGAATACCTGAGTCAAAAGTTATGACCTTCTTAAATTTTACTGTTAAACTATAACTTTTTATGTCACGTGTCAACACCAGATAAGTTACGCCTAAATTAGGCATAAATACCTTATGAGTCACGCCTAACTTAGGTGTGAATGAGTGCACTATATTCATAATTAGGTTCAAAATAACAACTTATTGGTAATTATTTATTAAAAAAATAATATTTTAATTTTTTTGCCATGAAAATCATACATAGCAATAAAAAATGAAATCCAAACCAACCAATCCCTTATTTACAAAAAGAAAATCAAACAAAACAAAACTTAATTAATTTTGTTTAATTTTTTATTTTAGGTTTTCAATTTTTTGTTTTTTGAAATTTGACCAGTTTTGTTTGGTTATGAACCCCTAGATAATTTTCTTGGATTAATTTCTACATGCAATTCAAAATCCTCTACACATCATGACTAGCACCCTAATAAGTAGCACTGTTATACTTAATTTGTAAATTATTAATATACGATTGATTATTATTAAATAAATATTATTTATATCAATGTTCTCAATCATGACTGACTGAATAATTTGATGATATGCTATACACAGATTAGATACTATTTTATACAAGATATTTTTTAATTTTTTTTTCATGTCTCAAATCTAAATCCAAGATTTCAAAAAACCAAGATAGCTTCGTGCTTGAATTGGGCCAAGAAACTTCTATCTTTTCCCAAGGCAGGGCCTAGCATTGTATGTGGGCTGTAAACCATCCTTTATCACTAGTTTTATTGCTTGTAAACCTCTGGTTTGTGAAGTTGATTCACAGATTTTGAGATGGGACACAAAGGGCTTAGCATGGGTAAATTGCACTTGTTTAGTCAGGTTTTATCTTCTTTTTAGTTCAACTTTTCAAATTATTTAATAAGAATTTAATTTATTATTAGTATTGTACCATTGGGATCTATAAGCCCACTATGTTCCCTTCAGGGATAAGAGTCACTGTATGGGTTATACCTCTAGCACAGGTAGAGACAAGCTAGGAAGTACTATCCCAAGTATGAATGCTAACAAACGATAATGGGGGGTATGTGTGTGTGGGTGACTCAAGGATTATGGGAAGAATAACGATACATAAGATGCCCCTCCTTGTCTAAGGGGGGAGGTATTTATAGGGGGATGAGATATTTGCTCTGCCTGGGTTGGTGAGAGGGGGTCAACCTTCCTTGGGGTCTGTTAGGGGTGGCTGACACTGCTATGATAGCAGTGATACAGCCCCTGCATCGACGGTGTTAGCATATAATGCTGGGGGTTACTATTTATGGTGCCTAGGACGGTCTCCCAGGGGATTGGAATCCCAAGGTGAGACATTTTGGTGTTTCACCTAGAGGGTGCGGTCGCCTTGGGGGTAGGATGGATGGAAGGTTGGTAGGGCTGACGTGGAGGAAGGGAAAAGGTTTGGGCTCATGTCATTGGGCTGTATAGAATTGGACCATCCGGAACAGGAGCCCCCCCAGCTTGGTAGCAAGTGAAGCTTGATGCCCTGATTGATGAACAGCGTCCTGGCAGTGTGATGGACCGCCATAATTCTTGGCGATTAGAATGCCATGAGTCTTTGGCGATTAGAATGGCACGAGTGACCACGTATTGCTTGCGAGGTAAGGTGACTCTTCAGTTTTCAGGGGTTTGTAATGATGAATAATGTCTTAGGACGAGTGAGTGACCACGATTAGAATGGCGATTAATGTCTTGGGACATGCCGCATTTATTGTGACGTGATGGACCTCTTGTCGTGTTGAATTACCAAAAGGCCTTTGATCTGTGCTGTTACTTATCGAATGGTTGTTGTCATCAAACGGTCAAGGTCTTGAGACGTTACAGGTGTACGAAGGATGTCAAAATTAGGTCTCAATTTAAAGGGGGGGTTTTCCCCTAATTGCCATCTTCTTCAGTACTTCTTCGTTATCCCTTGAGTTCTCAACTCTTCCCCTTCTTGGTATTGTCTCTTCAGATTCACGGAGAAGGCGCACGGACACTTCCGTGCGCTCATCTGGTGGTCTTAGGTCATATTCGCGTTGTCAGTCTTCTCGGCGCCCTGCTTTTGGTGTGGAGCGTCTTATTCGCCCCTTATCCTCCATTAACCGAGATCCTCAAAATCATCCTCTAGAATTATACTACCAGTCTCGCCCTTTACAAATAATTCACCCGTCTGTTGAACCATCTGTCGCCTTGCATACATCTTGTGGCCATATTCCTCCAGTTCTTAAATCTTTCCACCGCCGCAAATATGATGAGTCGTTTGACAATCGGTTAGGTAGGTATCATCCAGAAGATGCCCGGCTTGTACGGTACGGCGTGTGGGATGCCATCGCCGAAGACTTGGGGTTTTACAAGGTGTCAGCCACCCCCTTGGTTGCCTTCCCTACTCAGCTACTCATACTTCTACACTTCCAGTTCTTCTGAAACCTCTGATTCTTCAGTGAGTTCATCATATGTTCAAACTATACTTCTCTTTATGTTGGTTCCCATGTATGGCGTTTGACTGTATATTTGTCCCTCCTCTCAGGTTTTGGTGGTGGATAACTTCCTGGCTACACATAGCGGGTGGACAACCTCATGAACATTTTGCAGCGAGGAACTGGGTAGAAGCAGATGTGGCGACTACTTCTTCTTGTTATACAGACTCGTCTGTTTTAGGCGCTTCTTATTGGTCGGAGGGTAATTTTGATTTGACTGAGGGTGGCGCTAATGACGATGAATGACAACTGTGGTTGGTTAAAAAGTTTGATCGAGTTTGTGACAAGCCACGTCGTTTAGGGGTTGCTGATTGGCGATTCTTTGTATATAAGAATCACTTTATCGACCAGAAAGTTAGGTTCCTTTTCTCTGAATTCGAAATGGGGGTGTTGGGTCATCTGCGAGTTGCGCCTTCGCAATTACATCCTAACACTTGGCGATTTTGAGGGCGGTTTGAGTGATATGTTCTAACAACTTCTGGCTACTATTTGGTCTCCCCGGATTGTTGCAACCTTGTTGTCTCTCGCCACAAACTTCATTGCTAGGTGGGGGTGGGAAATGCTAGCTTCAAAGGAGGCGAACATCCTTCTTCCTAGGATGGCATTATAGGCTGAAAGTGTGACAAGCACTAAGAATTGAATGTCGGCTGACTTTGAAGTGGGTGGTGTTCCCATTGACAATCGCAAGTTTATCATGCCGAGGGGCTTGGTGATGGTTGCATTGAAACCTGACAGTTCTCCTACAATAGGGGTCAAGTCATTGACTGTGAACCCTAAAGCCCTAAAACAAGGTGGAAATAAAATGTCAGTTGAACTACCGTGATCTATGAACACTTGATTTATGCCAAAATTGGCAATTATGGCTTGAATGACTAAGGGTTCGTCATGCCCGGGAAGGACATTGCCCAACTCGTTGTTGTCCCACACGATCTTCGGTTTCGTGGGCACTAGAGAATTTTTTGTTTTGCTAATGATCTTTCCTGATATCGTCAAACACTTCTTTATGTGTTTCTTTCTAGTGTTTGTTGTTTCTCCATCTCCGCTCAAACCGTCAGATATCATGTTTATAACGCCATGTTTGATGGTAGCAGAATCCTCTGCTTCTCGTCGTTCCCTGGTGATCGGTCTGGTCTGTTCTCTGTGACCTCTTGGAGAATCTTCACTTTGGTCTCGATCACGGGGAGGCCTATAACCAATTTGGTTGGTCCTTCGTCTTTCTGGCGACCTACTTCGCTCTGGGAGACGCCTGACTTGACCAGCTTCTCGGGCCGAATTGTTGTATCTTCTTTGGGCTCCTCCTTTAATTAGTTCACCAATGTCTTCCTTAAGCGACCTGCATTCTTCTGTGTTATGGTCATTGCTGCGATGAAACTTGCAGTACACGGCGGGCTCTCTTGTTGCTTCCTGGCGTGTAGGGTTGACCTTGTTCTCCTTCTTATAATCGGTTTGTAGCACACTGTCTGACTGGCGCGTAAAGGGGCCACGCCCTAAAAGGCGACTTGTGTATCTGGAGGATTTTTGGGTATTTCTGTCCTCTTCACCTTGCTCTTTGGTTTTTCTAGCTTTTTTCTCTCGGTTGTGCCCATCGTCAGAACGGCTCCCTTTATACTCTTTAATCCACATGAACTCTTGGGATTTTTTCTTGACTTCCTCAAGGTCGGTTATTTCATGGTGAGCGAGCTCATAGGAAAAAGCTCTTTAGGGTCAAGAGTATGTGTACCTGCACTTTAGGGTCAAGACCCTAAATCAGCAAAGCCTCCTTGTCAAAACGGTCTAAGAAAGACCTGAGGGACTCTCCTAATTGCTGGCGAATTTTCTCAAGGGAATGGACGGATTTAAGCACCCGGCAACTTGTTGCGAAATGAGTTTGAAACTTGCTCGCTAAGTCATCCCAGGAGGAAATACTCCCAGTTGGTAAGGTGGTGTACCAAGCCAAAGCTCTCCCGCCAAGCAGTGTAGGGAAAGTTCTGCACATGAGGAGGTCTGTTTCACCGTGGAAGGTCATCGCCACCTCAAATTTTTGAATCCATTCAAACAGGTCAGTATCATCTGTAGATACAATGTATGTTTTGATGATAACAAAGTGGCAACAACAAAAAGGCAAGATCATTTGATCAAGAGCAAAAAGCATCAACCATATGTGGATATTGAAGATGTATGATGTAGCCACACAAGAAGAGTGACGACATATCAAAGTGGCAAGATCATTGGATCAGGAGCAACAAGGAATAATTAGAAGAGCAATAACAACATCAAAGGCAACTAACCATGGACAACATCTAAGAGAAGCTCAATATCATAACCATGGTGAAAAATGATCAAAACCAACAAAGTGTCAAGCATTGTCATATTCAACAAGTCAAAGCATCAAGTTCAAGAAAAGATCCAAGACACAAGACATGAAGCTAAGTCTAAAATCATATTTAGAATATAAATTTAGGACTTAGAATATATGTGAGGGTATATGATAGATTGCATTGCATGAGCTCAAAGTTTTTCTCAAAGTAAATCTGTTTTTCAAATTACATAATCATAACCTTTATATACTTGAAATAAATTCGAAAAATTCATGGAAAAGATCCTTGACATATTTTATAACTTCAAAACATATTTATCTAGTCAAGATCTTTCACAAAAAGTAGTTGGAAGCAAGCTAGAACACATTTGAACTTAAAATTTGTTGTTTAATTTCGCTGCTGTCTTCCATACAATTTTTTGTATCTAAAATGATGGATTTAGATCTTGTGTTCTTCATAAAAGTTGTAGATCTCTCTTTTATATTTCCAATGAGACCAAGATCACATCAATCCGACAAGTATAACTCAAATTACAGCCAAAATACAAAACAGTGTTCTTGTTGTCAAGTTGGAAATTGATTGCCACTGCAACAGATCCCAGCGGCTATAAAACGGCTAGTTTTTCAAAAGTGGTCCCAACGGCTATAAACAGCTATAAAATGACTAGTTTTTCAAATGAGATCCCAACGGCTATAAACGGCTAGTTTCCTAATGGCTATAAACGGCTAGTTTCCTAACGGCTATAAACGACTAGTTTTCCAACGGCTATAAACGACTAGTTTTTGGAAGCACTATATATGCATTCTCAATGACTCTAAAAATAATGAGGCATCATTCCTACACATATTAAGCATACTTTGAGAGCTTCTACACTATCACTTGCATATTCTTTCATATCTTTCAAAGATCAAACATATTTGAGCTCATATCTTGAAAATTCATATACCCATAGTGCTTCAAGTTGTATATTCACACTTTGAGAGTGTATATTAATTTCTAAATATTTCCCTCCTTGTATTCTTGAGTTGAAAGGGTTGTGAGACCCCTTGTTTGAGAGGTGGCCAAATACCTAAGTAAATTTGGAGTGAATTGTAAGTTTACTAAGTACCCGTAAACTTGGAGATTGTAAGGTATCCAAGAACCCGAAGTCTTGAAAGATTGTAAAGGTTTGTCAAGCCCCCGTGAAGCTTGACCATTAGTGAAAGAGTTGATCGAGTGGCTTTAGTCTGGACGTAAGTCACAAGTGGTGGTGACCGAACCAGGATATATTGTGTTTGCAATTCTCCAAACTCTAAACTCTTTATTTTAACACTTTAATTGCTTCTCTGGTATCTTGTATGTGCTAGTATAAGTTCTATAATTGTGATATATTATATATTATGGATTGTCTGAATATATTGATTATCTTTCTACATATCAAAGTTTGCTTGAAATGATTATTTTAAAACTAGAAGGGGGCTTTTGCGAAAATCTTGTAATACTCAATTCACCCCCATTTTGAGTATGGAAGCCACATTCTTAACATCACCGACATAGGTGGTAATATTTGATGGGCCTTTGAAACCCAAAGGTATAGGGGATAAGCGAAGGCTATCAACTAGGGGTTTATTGCGTCCAGAGGTATTAATGGGTGTAACACGTTTGTTTAGGTTAAGCACATTTGCTTCGGGTGGTGGGCGGGGCGCTTGGGGGGCTTCAACCGAATAGGAAAGGGCTGGGGCGTGGTGTATGCCATGTGAGGGTGGCGGTAGGATCATATATGACCCTTGAGGTTGGGAGATAACTGTGTTATGTGGTGGTATGGCGTATCCGTGAAATGGCATTCCAGCAGCTATGGGTGGTATGGGATAAGGGGCACCGATGTGGTGGGTGTAAGGTCCTGGAGGGTATCTAGTGGCCACTAGCATTCCATGGTCGTTGTAAATAATGAATGGTTGGCTTCGGGGCGACTGTGGATGTATAGCAGGTGGTGCTCTTTGGGGGACTGTGACCGGTATGGGCATACTATAACAGACTCCTGGAGGTGGGGTGGAGTTGGGGCCAAGTTTTCTCCTTGAACATCACGTATGGCCACGTGGCGATCTATCTGCGCTACTTGTCGCCAATTGGGGACCTCCCTTAACGCTTCATTTCTAGCGTTAGCCAACAGTAACTGTGCATCAACGGACTGTAACACTTGTGGGAGAGTAGTAACAACTGCATGTTGGGCCGGAGCTGAATGTATGGATGGCGGGGAGCTGGAATGTATTGTTTGAGCCTGACCTTCGGGGGTGGTTGCTCTAGGCTGGTTTGTTCTTCTCGTAGTGACTGCCATACTTCGTTTAAGATATAAGGTTTTGCCTTCTGTAGATCTTTTGGTAGGAGAGTGGGAATAGAAGTTTATAGTTCCCCACAGACGGCGCCAATGTACCGTTGGGATCTATAAGCCCACTATGTTCCCTTCAGGAATAAGAGTCACTGTATGGGTTATACCTCTAGCACAGGTAGAGACCAAGCACGAAAGTATTATCCCAAGTATGAATGTTAACAAACGATAATAGGGGGTATGTGTGTGTGTGTGTGTGACTCAAGGATTATGGACAGAATAACAATACATAAGATACCCCTCCTTGTCTAAGGGGGAGGTATTTATAGGGGGATGAGATATCTGCTCTGCGTGGGTTGGTGAGAGGGGGTCAACCCTCCTTGGGGTCTGTTAGGAGTGGCTGACACTGCTATGATAGCAGTGATACAACCCCTGTATCGGCGGTGTCAACGTATAACGCTGAGGGTTACTATTTATGGTGCCTGGGTCGGTCTCCCAGGGGATTGAATCCCCAGGTGAGACATTTTGGTGTCTCACCTAGGGGTGAAGTTGCCTTGGGGGAAGGATGGATGGAGGGTTGGTAGGACTGACGAGGAGGAAGGGAAAAGGCTTGGGCTCAGGTCATTGGGCTGTATAGATTTGGGTCATCCCGAACAAGTATAAAGTATTATATTATTATTAAAATATTGCACACACGCCATGTTACTGAGCACTTTAATGATAATAATAATCATTTTAGAAAAGGTCTTTCAATAATATATAATTAGAAAATGATGTAAAAATTCTTCCAACAACATTTAATAAAAGTTAAACTCTATTTAAATAATGTATTGTGTTACGTGTCTGTCAGGATTAGTGACAAGGATATACGTGACACAGGAAAAAAAATTACATCAAAGAGCTTGAAATTCAGCTTGTAAAAGTATAAATCTTAAAATTTAAATATGATGTTAACATTGTAAAGTTTGGATATATATATATATATATATATATATATATATATATATATATATATATATATATTATTCTACCTACCTATTTTTCATGCTTTCTTTGCCTCTCAATCTCTAATACCATTAAATCAGAATCTCAACTAACCTTTATTATTTCTCTCTTCTCTTGAGATTATGATCTAACTGTGCTAGAGATTGGTAGGTAAGATAGGCATAAATAATAGGTAGGTAGAATATCTTATTCCAAATATATATTGTGGAGGATTTTTTGACTCTGATATAAAATAAATGAAAAAAAGCGTTTGATATGGAAGAATATCTTTCTTTATGAATAATTTGCTAAGAAAATAAATGAAAATATGAATGTGTTTCTATTTTAAATGAATAAAGGGATCTAGTATCCATTAGGTAGTGTTTGGTATAAAGATTTTTTTTAAAAGTCCAGGAAAGCTCACTTGGGATTTATGAAATGCTATGTTTGGTACACCAAAAAGTAAAAATATTCCGGATATATTTGTTTCTGGGATTTTGTTCTCCTTTGCAAATTTCCGTACGGACATCACAAAAATATTATCACAAATTTGTTAGAATTTTTCGTTTTCCGGGAAAGTGGCAAATCAACTGTGAAATTGACGACCAAATTAATCCTGACGTTTATGACATTTGTGAAGCTTGTGAAGAAGCTTTGTCAGCGTAATACCCCGCACTTGTGGCTGGTAAGGAATTGAAGCTGGTTGAGCTCCAAGAATGAAGTTCTGGACCTCGTAGGTGGCTACTGGCCACACCAAACCTTTGAAGATCATCACCAAAACACTTGTCTTTGCACATGACACAAAAGGAAACATCATCACCAAGACAGCCTAAGTAACCCACTTTAGAGCTTCTGGAATAATATCCTTTGTATCTTCCTTGCTTTCAAGTTTCAGATTTTATTCTTTTGCATTTGAGTTAACTTCATTGTTTTGGATTACAATACTAAAACTTTTCCTCCTTAGATGGATACTGTGTTAAAAGCAGAGATTTAGTAGTAAAACCACCAATTTTAAACGGTGATAATATCACCCTTAG